CTGAGCCATCTTTTCAGCCCCAAATTAATATAATTTAACCTTATGTTCTTTGTTATTTCAAACACTTGTTTTAAATATCTTTTTAAAATTACATTTGTGTGTGTGTGTGTGTGTGTGTGTGTGTGTGCATGACCATGCCATGATGCGATGATGTGGGGGTGGAAGACAGAGGACAATTTTGGGCAGTTGATTCTCTCCTTTCACCTTCTGGGTCTTCAGGGTTGAACTCAGGTCATCAGGCCTGGTGGGTAACTGAGCCATCTTGCCAGCTCTAGGGATAGTTTTAAACTCCTATCTTGCATTATAATCATTTCTTGAATACACATGAAATTTCTTCAGGTTCAATTCCCAGCATTCATATGGTGGCTAACAACTGTCCATAACTCCAATTCCAGGGGAATCCAACGCCCTCTTCTGACCTCGGTGGGTGTTGCACGACATGGGTGGACTTACACACATACAGGCGGTACACTCATACACATAAAATAAAAATAATAAATAAAATATAAAGAAGAACAGATGTATTGAAAATTCAGCCTCTGTTCTTTGGAGCTGTGTACTGTGTAGTCCTCCAACTCTGTCCTGGTCTGTGAACACGCCAACTTCTGTGCTTCTGGTTAGTCCCCTTTGCTGGGTCTTCGTCTCAGCAGCAGCTTGCTCTCTGTCTGGCTGATGTTCTTGCCAACTTTACCCAACAAACCAGACTTTGAGTTCTTTGAGCCCTTCAGTTCAGAGGCATTGCTGTTCTCCTCCGCGGTCGCCCCCCCCCCCCCCCGCCGTGTTAGTCAAATCAGTAATGCAGAAAATCCATTGTCTAATTCGAACACTCCACCTGGGTTGTGGTTCCAACGATCCCACTTTCGCCTGTGCTCCTCTTTCACTGGCTCATTCATGTCTTCAGATCTCTTTTTCATTCAGTTCCCTCACTCCCTCTCTGCATCCACTTCCCTCCACATTCAGTTTTTGATGTTGCTGGCTGCTTGTTTTTTGAGTCAGGGTCTTACTATGCAGCCCAGGCTGGCCTTGAACTCAGTCCTCCTACCCCAAGCTCCCAAGTGCTTGGACGACAGGTGTGCACTATCATGCCTAATTCTTCATTCAGTTTAGGTGTCAGAATACCTTTTTAAAAAATTGATTATTTTTATTTTATGTGTATGAGTGTATTGCCTGCATGTGTGTAAGTGCGTCTGTGTTGTGCAATGTCTGAGGAGGTCGGAAGAGAGTGTTGAATCCCCTGGAGCTGGACATATGCACAGTTGCTAGCCACTATGTGGGTGCTGGGAACCGAACCCAGGTCTTCTGTAACAGCAGTTCAGTCCTCCTACCCCAAGCTCCCAAGTGCTTGGACAACAGGTGTGCACTATCATGCCTAATTCTTCATTCAGTTTAGGTGTCAGAATCTACCTTTTTAAAAAAATTGATTATTTTTATTTTATGTGTATGAGTGTATTGCCTGCATGTGTGTAAGTGCGTCTGTGTTGTGCAATGTCTGAGGAGGTCGGAAGAGAGTGTTGAATCCCCTGGAGCTGGACATATGCACAGTTGCTAGCCACTATGTGGGTGCTGGGAACCGAACCCAGGTCTTCTGTAACAGCAGCCAATTCCTTTAACCACTGACCCATCTCTCCATCCCCATAATCTACCTTCTTAATCACTATTTTTCCCCAACTTTTTATACCCACTTAATCTTCCATTGTACCTATCTGGAAAATTTCCGCACCTGAACAGGCCCAACCATTCACTCTCCTGAGCCTACTCTTGAACTGTTGCACCGTGTTGGAGAAAATCATAAAACATGGCTGAGTGACAAGGGTCAGTAAATTCAGTCTCAAATCTTACTGCTCAGTGCTGCCATATAACTGTGGTGCACACCTCATCATTCCTTCCCTCCTTCCAGGAACCTTCCAAGATCCCGATCTAGCCTCAAGCCTCTGGCTGCTCCAGCTCTCCTTCAGCTCTCAGCAGATGCCTGCCTTCCTTCTTCAGAAGGTAAACTTAAGCCATTACACACAAACTACCCGGTCTCCCAACCACATGCCTAGCAATACACATATGCATTAAGCATCAAACAATGCTTTCTTCTACCATGTTGTGAATTCCATTGCCCCCCATTTCGTGAGTCTTCCTCAGTTAGGTGCTCCCCCTCACCTAAGCCTTCCTGAGCTCCTTTCTCCCAGCTCCTTCCTGTCAACGTTTAAACACTCCAACTTCTTCTCTAATAAAAATACTTCCCATACCTCAGTGTCCCCTTCTAGTTACTACTCTATTTTTCTCTCTCCACTTCTGGTATGAGAAGTTGTTTTCAATAGCTCAGAAGATTCCTAGAATCAACCTACTTTTCAGGTTCTTGTCTACTATGAAATAATAAGGATCACAGGTATAAGGAGCTGGAGAGACAGCTCAGTGATTAAGAGGACTTGCTACTCTTGCAGAGGACCCAGCTTTGGTTCCCAGAGCTCAGATAGGGCAACTCTCAACTGGATCCAATTCTAGGGGATCTTACACCCTCTTCTACCCTCCATGGGTACCTGCATGCACATGGTGCACATAAACTCATGGAGGCACATACATATAAATAATAAATAAATCTTTTCTAAAAAATCACTAGCACAGTGCCATTCAGTTTTACTAATCCTGTCCATTGGTGTTTGATTTAGGAACAGTCCAAAACGTGCTTCTTTTGCCTGGATTGAACACTAGAACCAGTTGGGTGAAACAAGATAGCCAATGTTATACCAAGCAATCTCCATCCTGTGCCAGGAAACAGAATTCTTAAAATCACCCACAGGGCCTGTTCCTAGCTGGTCCATCCTTACAGGCGGGATGCTACCAACTGAGAAAGAGATGCCCCAGAAAGGTCATTCAAGTGACCACAAGTGGTCATCAAGTCAATATTGGAAACAATTGACATTGGCCTTTCAGATGAAGCCACTGATTTCATTTCCCCACCTCCATTTAAATCCAGGTTCTTTTCTCACACCTGTGCAGACAGGTGTGAACTCAACAGATCCCAAGACAAAAGCCAATATTTTTAAACCTGCTGCCCTCCCAGAACTCTCACACTCAACAAACAGCTCCAGCATCACCCCGGCTGAACCACCAGGGTCACCATTGATTCCTCCCTCTCCCTGATCCCCCAAATTCAATCAAATATCAGGTCCCATCCTCTTTACCTTTTGGATGTATGAGGCCCATCGTCACTGCTTCCATTAACTAGAAATAGTCTCCCCCTGAATTCTCTGATTCTGTCTGCTTCTCTCTAGAACATTCCTTCTTTGACAGTATGAGTGGTCTTTTCAACAGTCATCTGAGGGGCTCAGGAGATAGTGCAGTATGAAAAGCACTTGCCACAGAAGTCTGAGGTCCTGCGTTAAGCTCCCCAGAACCTATATAAAGCCAGACACAGTAGCCCACATCTGTGATCCCAGCACTCCTACAGGCAGAGACAGGAGCATCCTTGGAAACTCACAGACCAGCTAGTCTGGTGTACACAGTGGCAAACAAGAGACCTTGTCTCAAAACAGAAAGTCAGGACCAACATCCAGAGTTGTCCTCTGACCTCTACTCATGCACCATACTCACAGGGGCATACACACACACACACACACACACACTAAAGAAAAAAATCATTTGATTCTCATGAGGGACTAGGTTCAATCTACAACCACAATTAAAAATTAATAATGACAGGGGCTGGCGAGATGGCTCAGTGGTTAAGAGCACTGGCTGTTCTTGCAGAACACCTGGGTTCAAATCCCAGCACTCATATGGCAGGTAACAGATGTCAGTAACTCTAGTTCCAGGGTATCCAACAGCCTCTTCTGTCCTCCATGGGCACTGCACAACATGGGTGCACTTACCTACACGTAGGCAATACACACATACACATAAAATAAAAATAATAAAATTAAATTAAATAATGATAAAGCAATTCATTTGACAAAGTTCCCTTTCTGATTTTTAGGATATAGTCCAAATTCCTAATGGCTTACACAGAACTACGTAGCGTGCTTCCACCTACTCTTTTGGTGTCTTCTTTTTTTAATTTAAAAAATATTATTTTTATTTTATGTGTATGATTATATTGCCTGCATGTATATAAGTGCACCCATGTCATCCAATTCCCTCAGAGGTCAGAAGAGGGTGTTGGATCCCCTGGAACTAGAGTTATGGATGTTTTTTAGCCAAAATGTGGGTGGGTGCTGGGAATCGAACCAAGGTCCTCTACAAGAGCATCCAGTGCTCTTAACTGCTGAGCCATCTCTCCAGCCTCTCTTGTGGCATCTTCTACTGCCACCGACTCCTAGCTCTCTTCACTCTAGTCATGCTGAATCTCTTTCAGTTCCTCAGACATATCTTGCCCCTTCCCAGCTCTGGGTCTTTGTACAAGTCATCCCCCTGCCTAACGTGTAATCCCTTTCTTTCCATTCATCTAAAATAATGCCCACTAATCCTTCAGGGCTCAGTCGGAGGACACTGTCTCAGGGAAGCTTCCTTGATTTTCTAGAACAGATTATGTTAAGTTCCCATGTGTTCCCATGTCTTCATTGTTAACTTTAGCCATCTGTAAGTCTAATGTTTGTCCTCCCTGTTGGAATGGATACATGATCCATGAGGACGTTCATGTAGCCACGTCATTCATGGCTACATCTGCAGAGCCTGGCCAGTGTCCGACACACAGTGAAGTTGCAGATGGTAGCTGACTGAAGCACAGCTCTTCCGGGTAGAAGTTTCCATTTTAATGCACAACTAAAACCAAAGCGCTAATGGGCCATTCCTTCTGGGCTTTCCGTGAGCCCTTCGACCTTTATTTTCCATTTCATAAAGCCTGTTATGTAGAATAGACTGTTCTCTTCCTCTTTTCCCTCTTCCCAGTGATGTGTCACAAACTGGCATATTTTTATTGGGTGCGGCCCTGGTAATCTCACTGTTTATAACTCTGACCTTTCTGTGTGCAAACATACAAAGTGAACTTTGGTTTGTCTCCTACCATAATGCAGCTGCTTATTGCTGGCAGACAGGCTGAGTTCCGCAGCCGTGTGATCAGTTGGACGAGACCAGAAAGGAGCGTGGGGAGAGAGGACCAAGAGACTCTGTAGGGGCTGTCCAGAGGCAGTTCTCAGTCTCCAGGAGCAAGCAATCTCAGGGAGCATGGTGCTGAGGTGAGCCAGGTCATGAAGCCAACACTGCCGGGCTTGGTGCTATGGTCACTGCTCCTCCAGCCCGGGCTGGCATTCTGGACCTCCCAGATGGGGCAGAACTGCCACAATGGCAGCTACCAGATCAGTGTCCTGATGATGAACAACTCAGCCTTCCAAGAACCTCTGAGTAACTTGGAAGATGCAGTGAATGAAGGATTGGACATCGTGCGAGCACGTCTGCATGAAGCCGGTAAGAACGTGATAAGCGCAGTCCTCTCTTACTGCCCCTGGGGACAAAGGTTGCTAGGCAGAGACCTTATGTACTTTGCCCGATCACCCAAACTTATGTTAGGTCCATCTCAAACCCCCTTTCCATTTCCTTCTTGAGGAGAGGGTCTGGAGCCTGACTTTGGTATGTCTATGGTACACCGGGCTCTGCTGGAAACCTGACTTGAAGCCAGGATGTATAAAGTCCTTGCAGTAGCAAAATACATCAGTTAAGACTGGTTTTGCTGCCCAGTGTGGGGCATTGTGCCTCCTCCTTGTTCAAGATTTGGACTGGATCTGTGATTCCACAGAGTTACTGGTCAAGAAGGATGAAAACTCATACAGACACTGGATGTGCTCTAAGCCTTTCATCCATAGAAAGATTTTTCTCTAGACCCAGGAGCACTGTTACATCTCTCACGACTTTATTAGACGTAGCCAGTGTGATCAATTTGTAATCAGCTTAATCATTTCATGACCTGACTGTATCTTTTAATTATAAAATCAATTTGATAATATCAATTGAATAAGTAGAGAGAAAACAAGTGCTCACAATAATTTTGCACCACCACAGTGATGCTCCTTCTTACTGTGTGATTTGGAGGGCACAGGAATAATTCTGTATCTTCTGTGTCACCCCACATTATCCTACAAGTGACTTTCTGAGGGCCATGCTGTCTTTGCTAAGGTCGTCGTGTGAATGCATATTCATTAACCCTTAGGCTAGGTTCTGCCTAAATTACCTAAAAATTCTATGGGAGATTATCCCATTGTTTTTCATCTTGTGATTATTTTTAAATGCTATGAAAACATTTTCTTGTGTATAGCTTTTCTCCATTGTCTGAGAATACATCACCATAAATAGGTTTACTGAGCCAATGAGTACTTAATACATCTATAATGGCTATTTTTGGTCTTAAGGATGGCGTATCTTAAGTTTCTGCTTAAAATCTCATGGAAACGAGAGCAACAGTTCACATTTGAATTATAACCTGTTCTGTGTATATGCAACATCTCTCCAATTGTGTCTGAAACTAGATGGATGGGTGTGAGCTAGGGCTACAACAGAGCTAGGTCATTTAATAAAATGCATGTATTTACGAGGCAGTGTGGTCTAGTGGAAAGAAGGTTGGATTTGAAATTGAAGAACCTGGGTTGAGGTTCTGTCTCTGTGACCTCAGTGTTGGGCTTGTCCATCTATCTGAGATTTCGTTTGCTTCCTGAGTATCTGTCATGTGCTAGATAAGTTCTAGGGGGCTTCATTACATAATCTCTTTAATCACCACAGTTCTGTGGACTTGGCAAGGTGGGTGGATGAAGTTTCACAGCAGACAGTAATCACTTTGCTTCATGTCATATAGATTGTTTAATCCATTTCTTTCTGATTTTCCATGGCTGTATCCAATTGCTGCTGTAAGATCGTTTTCTCTTAATTTAATTTTATTTCATGTGTACGAGTGTTTTACTTGCAATGTATGTAAGTGCACAATACATGTGCTTCATGTATGAGGAGGACAAGTGTTAGCCACCATGGTGCTGGGAACCCAATCCGGGTTCTCCAGAAAAACAGTAAGTGCTCTTAACCACTGAGCCATGTCTTACAGTTCCACTGTACGATCTTGACCCATCACCAATTACGTTTTTTTTTTTTCATTAATACAAAACAGTGGAATATTAGCAGCAGAGATTTGAATCTGACAGAATTTGGTTCATATTCCTGACTGACCCATTTATCATCTGTATAACATGAAGCAAGTTTCTTAACTTTCCAGAACCTTTATTTCTTCACCCATGAACCAGAATAAATGGTAGTCCCCTCATGTGGATAGACTGTGGATTTGATGAGAAAAATTAATGTAAAATATTTCATGCACTGACTGAAACATAACAAGTCCTCAATAAATAGCAGCTGTTTTTTTTAAAATCACTGTTAAGAATGTTGTTGCTGCTGCTGTTATTAGAATACATTGTCTGACATATAAAACAGTGAAGGTATTGCTTAAAGTCTTGGTGTCTGAATTCCTGTAACCTGAATTTTCATTTTGGCTCCATTATTCAGTAATCAAGTAACGTTGTTAGTGATCATCTCTAAGCTTCAAGCATCTCATTCGTAGCATAGTTATTAATGGTGAGATGGTGAAACAGGGTAAGAAGTGGAGCATTCTGGGGACATGGAAGAATAAGCACTGATGCCCACAATTTGCATTTGAGAACACATTTTGTAAGATGTTCATGCATAGTTAATACAAGTGGGGCCAGTTTGGGAGAGAAAGTTCATGTTCAAAATATGTTGAGCATTGGGGGAAATTAAGAAATAGCATAGCTAAGGGATAAGTTGAAAAATATTGAAAATTCAGTAAAGATTGTGGGTGACATCCCAAAGTAAGTGATCAGTTTTTTCCAGGACTTAGTAAAGCTTTATGGGCCTTAAAGAATAGTAGAAAATAATGTGGTAAATGGTGGGAAATAATGTGCACAGCCAAGTATTTAATCCATGTGCTGTGTGTATGCCCATGTGCTGAGGTCCTTCTAGACACGGGCACCTGGACTCTGCTTCTTGTTGACCCAACCCCATCCCCCAAACCCTGGAGAGGAACGTGAGGGTTCTGAGATCTCTGGAAATTCTTTAACTTTCAACCCAGCCTCTGAGGACCAAGATCTTCTGGTGGGGGGTTGGGTATAGCCAGGATAAGGATGGAAAAACAAGACTTAAGGGACTTGCTTATTTTTAAAGGTTCAATTTGATATCATACCATTGCCTGAAAAAAATTTCAATTTTTAAAAATTCACTTAGGATCTGGAGAAATAAAAGGGAAGATGCCCCCCCCACACCAAATTAAAATGAAAAAAAGTACACAGAACCATAAACTATGAATATTACAATATGTTCTGTGGCAATGGGTCTCAAAACTTGATCTCGAGACTTCTTTACACTCTTAAAAATACTGAGGGGCCTGCAGAGTTTTATGTAGTTACAAGTATTGATATTTATTGAATTTAAAATTAAAACTGGGAAATATTTTAAACATTTACCTATAAGATCACTAAAAAGTGACAGTTTGCTAATTAGCATATGTATTTTGTTATTAGAGATACGTTTATATTTTTAAAGTACAAAAACAGAGCGCAAGGAGAATGGTATTGTTTTAAACTTTTTTTTTTTTTTTTTTTTTTGTCTTTTTGAGATAGGGTCTCCCTGTAGCTCCAGCTTCCTGGAACTCTGTAGACGAGGCTGGCCTCGAACTCACAGAGGATCCTCCTGTCTCTGCCTCCCGAGTGTTGGGATTAAAGGCATGCGCCACCATGCCCGGCTGTTTTAAACTTTAAAAAATATATATTTTATTATTTTTATGTGTATGAATATATTGCCTGCATGTATGTGAGCGCACCCATGTTGTACAATGCCTCAGAGGTCAGAAGAGGGCGTCGGATTCACCTGGAACTGGAGTTAAGGACAGTTCGTAGCCACCATGTCGGTGCTGGGAATCAAACCTGGGTCTTCTGGAAGAGCAGTCAGTGTCTTAACCGCTGAGCCATTTCTCCAGCCCCCTGTTTTAAACTTTTATGAATGTCTTTAATGTTCAGCTTAATGGAAGATAGCTTCTATATTCATGCTGACTTCTATGTTCAATCTCCTACAATAATACATAGTATCTAGTTTCTGGAAAACTGCATTAGAAAGAGTGGGTAGTGTCTTAGTGTAATTATGAAAACAGCTCTGACCTCACAGGAGTCTCCCTTCCCCTCCGAAGAGACTCAAAGTTCCTCAGCAGCTCACATTTCAAGAACTTAGGTTCTATAAGATCTGAAGATCTAGAATCATCTAGAATCATCACACTGCCCTTTCTGCACATCCAGTTCCACTCTTCACTAGTGATGCCCTAAGAAAAAAGTTCATTGATCCAGAACATTCTTGTCTCATTTTAAAATTAGGATAAATATTGGCATTGTAAGATTCAGAAAAAGGATTAAATTAAATAGCGCCTGCAGAAACTTATAGTTCAGTGTCAGGCACCCAGTAGCAGAGACCTCCAGCTCTCCTGTGGCAGAAGTAGATGAGGAACCAGGGCCTCAGAGAGGTCACTTGTCCAAAATCAGAACTCACACACAATGATTCACTTCTCCCAGGTGCTTGTGCAGGGCTTACACTTGAGCTTTGCTGTGTCGCTCATGATCTGCCTGGAGCCTAGGATGTCAGCACCACTCATGGTGGGAGGGAGCAGAGACAAGAGACCTGGAGGAAGGAGTGGGTTTACAGTTACCGTTCCTAAGCCTGGATCACATCCTGCACCTGCACACTGCCTTCCCCATCAGGTCCTGAATTGTCTTATTGATTTCCCAGATGATTCTTCCCCACTCTGCCAGGTCTCCAGACACACCCCGGCCTCATTTATGCTGTGTCCTGACTTCAAACGCCCTATATTCTCCCTAGTGTCGTGAAAACTAAACAGGATAAAGGTTCTAAAGTGTTTAGTGGGGATGGCAAAATGGCTCAACTAGTAAAGGCACCTGCCGCCAAGCCTGATGGCCTGAGTTCAACCCCAGAAACCCATATGGTGGAAGGAGAGAACTGACTCCCACCGTTCGCCTTCTGACCTCCACGTTGCATACCTTAATGCATTCCCTACCTACCCTCAACACACATATAAATAAAATGTAAAAAAATTAAACTGTTCAGTACTGTGCCTGTTCCATAGCTACAACTGCTATCACACTCATGCCTCACCCTATCCCTTCCATTGATTTTCTCTGACGGATCTAATCACATTGGCCTCCCCTCCAGCTAATTCTACTAAAGAATTGCACATCTCGTTTGTATCTCCTATTGAACGAAGCATCAGAGTAAACATTTTTGAACTGAACAACAAGTAGAAAAGGAAGACACACACTCTGCTTGGTAGACACATCTCTGGGGTGGCTGGAGTTGGGCAGAGATACTTCCGTTCTCTGAAGGAACAGATCTCGCCTTCTAGAAACATGCACTTAAAAAAAATATTTTTATTTATTTATTTATTTTTATTTTATATGTATGTGTGTACTGCCTGCATGTAGGTAAGTGCACCCATGTCATGCAATGCCTGCGGAGGCAGAAGAGGCCATCGGAATCCCTGGAACTGGAGTTACGGAAACATACACTTGAATGTTCAGAAGAACAGCTTCTGTTTTAGACAGGCTTTACTTTTTCAAAAATATTACCGAAACTTATCACATTGGACAAAACTGTGTTGACCTCACTTTACATGTGAGACAGTCCAAGTCAGAGACATTAAAATGGCTTGTGCAAGAATTCACAGACCATCATCACTCATAATGCCGGGCTGTGACTAAGGCTTCCAAACTTGCTGAAGGCTAGGCAAAATCAAATGTCTGTTTGCTTAGACATCAGACATTTATCCTGATGTTTCCCCTTACTGGAAGGAGACCATAATTTAAGAGCTGGAGCTTGTTCAAATGGTTCTGAGACCTCATTATTATCTTTAAGATGTGGTGCCTAGCAACACCCAGGGCTGTTACCAGGGGTGCCATCACTTAACGCCAGGATGAACACAATTCACTTTGACTTTGGGAAATGCTTAACATCAAGAGTGATATTCTGATCACTAAGACTAGCAACTCCTGTAACCAAGCGAATACGTCAAAGCAAAGCACGTTTTGAATCTTTGTGTTCCTTTTCTGAAAGGAGAGACCTGTGAGCCACAATGAAATCCAATCAAAACTCAGTGTCATTTAGGAAACTAGCAGTCATATTTTTTTCCTTGATCCTTGATTGGAAATATTAAATATTTTCAAGACACAAGGCATTTTCCAAAGATTTTGCAGTGCTTTGTAACTCTTTCCCTATCTGCTAAGGAAGGAAACAGAACCTAGACGCACTTTTCTTAAGGAATATGTGATGGTCTGTGTGTTAACTGTATTCAACTCAACTAAGAAGTACAGCTATGGGGGGGCTGGAGAGATGGCTCAGTGGTTAAGAGCACTGGCTGCTCTTGCAGAGAACCCAGGATCAGTTCCCAGCACCCACATGGCAGCTAACAACTGTCCATAACTCCAGTTCCAGAAGATCCAATGCCTTCTTCTGACCTCTGCAGGCATTGCATGACATGGGTGTACTTACACACATGCAAGCAATACACTCATACACAAAAATAGAGATGGCTCAGCAGTTAAGACTGGCCGTTCTTGCAGAAGATCCGGGTTCGAATCCCAGCACCCACATGGCAG